GAGTTTCCAGCCAAAAGTAAAAGAGAACCAATGTTGGAAGTCCCAATCACACAAGTTAATCCAGTCTTACAAGAAGAGAAAGCCCAGGTCAGGATTTTTTACTATGTAGACAGTATTAAGTGTGGATATGGTCTCAAGTTAACCCCACAACAAAAACACATCCATAATGAGTTTATATTGCTCATGTAGGGGAGTTGCAAGGTACTATCTGTGTGCTTCCTTGGCAACCTCTACTCAACTTGAACGGGTTTTCAACGGGATATGGTCCAAGAGCTTTCTTTTCAAAACACCATCAAGTATCTCAAGAACTCTTAAATCCTGCCTTGCTTTAGGCCTCCTTTTCATTCCTTCCTCAGCACTCCTTCCTGCTTACAGGTCCTTAAAGGGAGAACTTCTATCTATGCATCTGATAACACTTTTATCAACCCTGCTAAAATAAAAGAGGCCTTATCAACCAGCTTTGTTTGAGCTACAGGCAGTTAGTGCTCCTGGGTCACCGCCATGGCCTTGTCTGAACCAGGTTTTTTCCTGCACCCAGAAGTCTGCCTTGTTCCTGTTACCAACACAGTCAGCAACAACAGAACAGAGGCTGGATCCACTGCACAGCAAAAAGCTATTCCTTAGCACCAGTGATCTCACACCAAGAAAAATCATCAAAGCATCAATTAAACACCAAGCTTCTCACATTTATCGATTCCGGGCGCCACTGGACGTGACTCAATGTGAAATTACAAGTTTAAGAACAAATTTAGCTTGACATCAATGAAAGAAGGCCTAGCTGTTCTTTAACTGTTCATCTCTACCATTGTGCTTGCCCATGACACACTGTCAAGACAGATACTCATGAAGAAGGCACAAGCCAAGCAGAACAGCTAAAACAAGGGAAGCTTGGAAGTGTAAGATACCACCTCCTTTTCCTAGGATAAGGAAGATGCTGTAACATGAATCTCAGTTTAGTGAGACCATGCAGAGATCCCTCACACAATACAACTGCTGATCCACTGTGACTGGCAGTTTCATGAACAGGAGAGTGTTCAGGTGTACCTTGCATACAATAGTCAGAGAGGTAAACCAAAAGACCCTCCTGAAAAAAGGACTTATTTTGGTGAACCTGGAGAGCCAGACAGTGAAGTGAACAATGAGCAGACTGTGGCAACACCACGTGCAGGTGGCCGCCCTCCCAAAGCTCAGAAAATATTAAATAAAAGATCAGAGATCAATTCTCCAAGAACTCTTGGGAAATAACTGAGAACCAATCACACAACTCGGGCAAGTTCACGTACTCCACAGCTTTGTGCCTGGAGTTACCAGGAACCGCCCACCTGCAATGAATTTACGGGTTGTGCAAACCTTGTGTGTCATTATGACTCCTATTGTGCTCTCCTTGTCATGGGAGCATGACAACACCAAGTTTCAAAACGCTACAGCAGAACAAAGTCTTTGCACTGAACAACATTATTGCAAATGATGCAAATCTCTTTGTAGGCTTTGCTGAGAAGCGTGAATCAAAGAGAAGAGTGGCTTGTAACTTTGGAACAGCATTTTACACACAGCGGGTCAATGGAGTAAACCACAAAAGCATTTGCTTCTTAAAGCAACACAAAGAGATCCAGCTAAAAGAAACTTTTATATGGGAATCAGAGTTTCCATACCAGTTTCTGCACAGAAACCAAACTTTCAGCTACCACCAGTCCCTCCTTTGATATTATAAAGAAAGATCAGGGTACACACTTTTATTGCCATGTAGTAACTGCAAGACATATGTTTAAAACCTCTGTTACTCCTTGACATTTCTCAAGCTTCTATGTCAGCCAAGAAAAGACACACCTCTTCCATAAGCAATTCCCAGGAATAATTGTGTTACCATACCAGAAAGTCGCTAGAAGATAGAGGGCTCTCAACTGGTTTAACTCCTCCAGTACTTTTCTTTGGTCAGCTGTTACAGCAAATGCAATTTGTTCAAAACCAAATAAAAGACTCTCCTCAGCACCATTCTAAGAAGATGTTTGAGAACTCTTCTCCCTTTCCAATACCACAGACTCTATGGAGCCCCTTGTGAGGCTACAAGTGGATTAGAGACTGCTCACTACTGGCAGAGATCATCCTTGTCCCTTCCATGGGCTGGGCTGTCCTTACAAGGAACGTGCCAGGATGCACGGAGAACCCCTGGGACCTGCCACCGCTTTGCATTCCGCTTGCCAGAAGCACCAGCTTCCCGAATCAAAGCTAAAATCACCAGGCAGCTGCTTTGGGCACACAGCTTCACCTGGGACTTGGTAAAGCCAGATATTCCAGTTGACTGAAGTGCTTTCAGATGACTACAAAGAGCAGCATTCCCCACCAAGTAAGACATTACAACGGACAGCTTTTACTACTACAATCTCAGAGGAGCTGTCCTCCTGTCTTGTCACTGTCCCCACATCAGTGTAAGGCTTTGTATCGTTGACTACAGAAACACAGAACCTGCTTCGCCTGCTCTACACCTTCAACAACACTAAACACAAACACACAAAGCTTTCTCCAAAGCCTCACCTCCAGGAGAGATGTCAGCAACAGCCTGTTCCAATGGCACAATGAAGGGCAACCCGAGCCAAACTTGTTTTGCCCTTTTTGGTTCACCTGCTTGCAGCCTGTTAACAGCACCGCGGTCCCTCACCCATGAAACTCTGACAACTTTGGGGAGGAAAAAGAACTAGTAACACGATGCATCTTAATACAGGCAGGGATTTGAAGGGGAAAATAAAAATAAATAAAGAGAAAATGCTAACAGAGAGTCCCAAGGGAGCCCCTGCAGCTCTCGTTCATCACATCTGCTCGGGAGCAGCTGGACACGGGCAGGGGCATCTCCCACGGCAGGCGGGGAGGGAGCAGC